TTGGGCACACATCCACTAGGCTGCGGCCACCACTTCCTCCTTTTTCCTTACTTTCTTTCTCTCCTTTCTCACTTATTTTTGATTTTCACTGCTTTACGCGATTAGTGGACATCCCCAGATTGATAAGTGATGCAAAAAAATTATATCTTGTGTGCTAACGTGATTACTGAAAGTGGACTGTTCTGACCTTTTATAGAAACGCAATGGTTTGAATTCCTTTTTCGCTTTTTTTACGCATGTATCAATTCCACGTAAACACTTGACAAATATAATTTGTCTTTTTTGCGTTTATTTAGATAATTTGAGAAATTTTTCAAGATTAAAGGATTGATCAAAGGGACAGACAATTAAATAGCTAAGTCGTTCTCGCTATTCTCAACTTACTCAACGCTCTAAGATTTGTTATAACAACTTTTACACTACTATTCGTTAAATTATTAGCAATAATATCCAGTAATTGTTGATTTTCTTTTCACCTTTTCCCTGTAGTTTATGATTATTATCACTAAAAAGAGAGCTTAAAAGTTAAAAGAAAAACAAATTTTTTTTTTTCTAATTGCTGTTTAATTGATAAATATGTGAGGAGGGATATAGTCAGTTTGCTTTTAAAGAGAAAGAAAACAGATACAATACATGCGCGATAAGAATCCGAACAAATTCTCGGTATCAGCCAAATAAATACTTCTGCGAAGACTGTCGCTTTTTTCGCGACCTTGTATTAACTTCCCTATAGGCATGCTTATCTTTTTGATAGATCGAAGGTTCTATCAAAGAAGGCAGAGTCTTTTCTTTTTTTTGAAAAGAGCCAGCAACTACGTTTCAAAAGATGAAGAGAAGCTTGTGGCTTTAGAAGTCACCTTTTCCATCGTCTTCTATATCAACTTTACATATTTATGTGTGGGAGATTCGATTTAATCTAAGTTTTTTCGGCAAACAATTTGAAAAGTTTATTCATCAATTTAGTGAAAACTTTTTCAATGAAAATTCTTGAGATATTTTGATCAAATGTTCATAAGTTTAATAAAAATATAATTATTTGACGATTTTTAAACATAGCAAGCTACTCAACTCAATCAATTTAAGCTTTATAAAATTTTTTCTTATTTGCTTTTCAAAGAAATGGCTTAAGGTTGTTCTTCATTTTACATCTTGAGTGTTTTGCTCAACGCAAATTTTGTAGTTTCACGAAATTTTGTGAAGTTTTTTTCCATTTGTCTGACGAGACATTCGGAAACGAACATTTTCAATGCGTAACACTGAAGAGATGATATTTTTTTAATATCAAAAAGGAAATCAAAGAAAAGGAAGGTACCTTCATTTTTGGAAATATTTTATTTTTCTCGAACGTTATTAGTAACTCTTGCGATTTGTTAAATGGACTTTAAAATTTTTAATAATAAAAATTTTATTTAAGTTTTTTTTTTGTTTGTTTTAGAAATCAATTTACTGTTTTCTGGTTTTCACGAAGGTGAACGGGTTAGATAATCTTAATTCAACAGTATTTTTAGCAGTTAATAAAAGCGTAAATGCCACGAAGTTATATGACGCCGTTATTGTTTATTTTAATGTTGCTAAAGACATTACCAGTAGAGTTCTCCCAATCGCTTTAATTAAAGTTATCGTCTTGAAGATATTCTGGTGTTAATTTTATTTCTTCCGGTGATTAATTTTCCGAGATTTTGATGGTTTGAAGAATTTCGCTACATTCGCTTAACAAATGTTCAAAGTCTTGAATTACTCAAGTTGTTTGTCTGTCTTAGATCGTCATCTTTGCTGCATCACTGCAGTATTCGTCTCAGTGGCGTTTTCTTTCGTACTTTGAAAAGTCTAAGGAGAATGGTAATCTGTCTCTTTACTCTTAAACTTGAATAACTTTGATTAGCTACAACAGCTATTAGCTTTGATAAGAAAATTTATAAGGTACAGCGTCTGTAAATCAATAGAAGAGCTACGTTGATCATGTTAAAGTCGATAAAATAACAGCAGAGAAACGCAGAGATTAATCAAATGAAGGAACAAAAGAAAGAGATAATCTGTCATCAACGTTTCGCAGAGGAGTGTTCGTAACGACATAGCAGTAGGAATTAACTTGCAAACAATTGAGGCATTATATGTGATATCTGACCTCTTCTCTAACTGAAATGGATGTTATCGTGGCATTTATGCTTATTAAAACGGTGAAGTTGCGACTGGTGTGAATGAAAACCTCGAGTAGTTACTTAAGACACACTTTGAAAAATCGGAAACGCGCTAGAAAACTTGGTCTTAAACAAGAATTGATTAAAAAATTAAACGAGACCTCAATTAGAATTTTTATGCAAATCATCGAAATTCATTGATTTTGTCGAAAAGAAAGCACCATCCAGAAAGAATCGTCAGCGATCCTATTGAGTACATACATTCTGGGTTAGCATCAAATTCTTACTCGATTTAAGTATGTCTCTCTGTCCGTTCCTGTAATGTCTCTCGTAAATATTCTTTTGATCTTGAAATTTTAAAAACCCTTGCTTGGAAGTTAGTATATTGGTATGCGCCAAAGCAGTCGGTGCACACGTTTACAGAACAACATAAACTGAGAGTATCGCCGCAATTCGACTTCTTTGTTCCAGCATCGTAAACAACAAAAAACATAACGATGAATATTTCAATAAGTGAGTCTGCAACAATTGCATAAAAGTGGAAAATATCAGGTACATTTCCCTGGTATTATGGAGTATCGAAATTCCGTTTTTTTTCTCCTTTTTTTTGATTGTATATAATACCTCCACAGCCATTTATTTCTTTTAATTAGGTATAGACTGACACTTTTGAGGTGTTAATAAAGCTAATGTTACCAAAGTCCTTTCAAGGAGATGGGTACAAAAGAGCTCCGTGACCTTTTCCCTGATGCAATATACTCTTGATCAATACAAAATTCTGATTCAGTTTAAGCCTCTCTCTCTGTCTCGTCTCGTCCATTGAGACTTGGTCGCTGATAATAGCAGACAAAGTTTTAAAAAAGGCGAGTTCGGCCCAAAATCTACAATAGAGTACAACTTACTGTCAATAGAAGATATAGGATTAAAATTTGTATAAATACTGAAATAAAATATCAATTAACGAGTGAACCTTTTAAAGAACATATTTTTGACGGAGTTTTACTCTGAGCCGGCCCAGGAAGTTCTTCTCACAAGAAAATTGTTTTTTGAGATTTGCACGTTTCCGCTAGGTATCCTTCCAGATAGTCTTACACCTATCGTCTTTGTTTTTCTTATCATATTAATCTGTCAAATTCTTCGTTCTCTCACGTGCACAAACTTATTAAACTATTCTCGGATTACGGTACTTCATCGGTACATGTATTTTAATGCAATTCTTTGCCTTTCGTTATGTTCACTAACACAATATCTACACTAGGGCTCATAATATATCGCATATATTCTTATTTTCTGGATTACCGACCAATATTCCTTGCAACAATTAGCGCTTTTAGCACATGTAGTAAAAAAGGTTTTCCTTGTTGTCTTACCAACAGACCTATCATTACCCTGTACAACTTTCAATCAGAGGCATTCGAAGCCTAACCGTATACTAAATCTTAAACCTTCATAGAAATAACATAACTAAGCTTAAAACTTTCACCCTATGAGGGGTGTTCACCTAATAAACAATTTCTGGAAATTAGGTAAACGTCCAGTACACAAATGGTCCCGACAAAATATATATTTTTGTACATGATCATGGAAGTGAACGCCTCTGTCAAACTGACAAGTGCTCAATTTGTTTGCTTAGCAAAAGAAGAAAAGATTTACTTACACTTAATCGATTTTAGAGCGAATGGGCTAATTTTTTGGATCATCTGCTTGCTATAAAAAGAAAAACGAGTGGATATTTTATACCTCAGCACTATGAGTTCTCCTTAAGTTGAGAAGTGTTAACAGAGCTTGTTCTAGTTGATATGCATTCAATTAAATTTGCATTTGTTGAAACACCCTAATATCAATAGTCTTCTTAAATCTCGTTTCATTTCCTATTATACTTAGTGCTTACACTGGTGACAAGATCTATACTTATATACACTATAAAAAAATGAAGAACTTTTATTTCCACCATATGTTAATATAAATGTGATTATCAATGAAACTCGAGCAATTAAGAAACCAAACACAGTGTCGAATTGGCATAATATTTGTTTAATCTTTGTGTCACTTTATATCCATTCACAGCAATGTAGTCCTTCGCTTGAATTTACATTTATTTGTCACATATAGAATACAAAAATAAATATATGATCAGATGGTGGTAGTTGTAACAATCATGGGAAAATTTCGCGTACTGCACCTGCCAATTTTGTGCAAATAGTTTGGACAAAAGATATTAATCATTACATTCAACGGCAGATACCGGAATTTATGGATCCCAAATAATTTCGAAAAATTTTCCCACACATTTGACAACTCGTTGTTCGGTTTTTTTAGGGGTTCAAATTGAGGCTTATCACTTATGTATACAATCCTAAAACTCAACCACACTTATTACTACCACCACCACTTCTACTACCACTACCATGCTATCAAGTGTCTTACTCCTTGCTGTAGTTCTTCACAAGTTTGCCCTTAGCACTCAGACCATGTTTTGTTTTTTTTGTGCTCTCTCTCACAAACAGGTTTCTCTGCGGGGCATGAGATTTTCGTTGGTTTCGTAGCGAAACATTAAGGAAACTAAAGGGCAAAGCACTTGTGCGTGTTAAATTACTTGCTTTTAGTTTTTATTTCAATTTGCTTTTTTGTTGTTTATATTCTCTCGGCGCATATTTATTTCCACAAAAATATATCCGTGGTTGAGTGTGCATATGGTATGTTTACGTATTTGGGTTATTTTTTTCTCCCTTTGTGAAATTTGTGAGTGAAAAACAAGGAAATGCAGTTTAAATACATTCTCTTTTGCATTAATTCTCCCTTGCGTTCTAGTCTGGCTTCAGAGTATAAAAGACGAGCACGCACCACTCGAATATCATTCTGTTAAAGTGCTTGAACAAGAGAGTAGCAACGTTTCTCAGTATTTTCTAGATATTCTAAAAATCTTAAAAAAAGGAACAAGATAACTACATAAGCAAAAATGTGTCAACAACAGATAACAATGTCAGCCAATAATTGTCATAACGGTACCGATAGCCAACGAGCTAAGCCAACCTATAGCATTAAGAAAGTTCTAAAGACGTTGTTTAAAAAATACCAAAAACAACAAAATGAATTAAACAATTATTTAGTGTCACCAGAGTCGCAAGACAATTATTGTAACATGCAAACCGAGCAGGAAATTTTCATTGAAATCGATGAGAATTCGGCCAACGAAAAAATTGCGAAAATAGTTCAAGAAGAGGAAGATGAAGAGCGAGAGGACTTAAACGAAGATATTTATGTGCCTGTACGTTTTGCTCGCACTGAAGCCGGCACATTCTTTTGGACCACAAACTTGCAACCTGTTGCCTCTACTATTGTTCCCAGCGCCGATAAAGATTTACTGCAACCAGCCTATTGTTATAGCAATTATCAGTATCCGTTAATGCAGTTTCAAGATCGATGGGCTCAAGCGTAATAATAGCAATAATTCGCTTTAAAACGCCAATTTATATACTAAGCTTTACAACATTATTATTGTGATACATAACAAGCCAGGAAGCTGAATCAAACAGCAAGCGTTTATTGGCGTCACTTTTTTTTTTATTCTTCCTTTAATTAGTCAACTAATAATAACATTAATTTTATGTTCTTTAAGTAATTTTAAGTAAACCATGTGATAAAAATTGGAAGCTTTAAAATACAAAATATTCATCTAAAAGCAAAGTCAAGCATTTTATTTCGCAAAGATGCAATAGGTAGATGCAATCGACGAGAGTTTAAAACTTTTTACAGATGTCATCAATAATTTATGAGGCATTGGATCAATTCGCCTTTAGACAGTAAAAACGTGATTAGCGATTTTACGTACAGCAGCGCTTTCTTTGCCTTCCTCAACAAAAGCGACTTATCGTTGTGTATACGACTTCAATTCGTCTTTTCATTTGACACTCGATTTCATTTGATCCGTCAACTCCCTTCGCCGCTTCCTTTTTATTGCCTCTTCCATCATTGTCGCTAATTAAAATTCACATGCATTCTCTCACTCCATACAAATCGTTTTCATTATCTAACAAAGCTTTACGGTTGTCTATGTTTATCATTTTCTCATTTGTTTAATGTCCCTTAAGCTTAATTTACTTTTACTTAGCGTTTTTGCAGTAATCTTCAATGAAAAAGTAGGTTAAATCGTATCAAAAAAAAAAAAACACTTTACAAGAATTGAAAAAAAAAAAAACGAACGATATATTTATATGTAGTATTAGGTGCTTGCATGTATTTCGATTATATTTTCACTTGAACAAGGCATTTATTGAGAAAAATTGGTCTAATATATATGAACCAAACTATTTTCCATCATTCTCTATAACTTTTTCCCATCTTTCTAGTAACCGTGTCGAAGAAACGATATTGGATTGGCAGCGATCCAATCATCGACCCGTTTTCGGACTTTTTCAGCATTACGAAACCGCGTGCCAACCAAGCCATGATACGTCGATTTGAACAAGCGGTAATTATAAGGCGCTTTGTCTGCTGAGTAAGCTGGGTGCGACAGAACTTCCCGTTCGAGCTGCATCCTTAACAACTCTGGGCAGCGGTGACTGTGTGGTTCTCTTGCAAGAGGACGACCTTGCATCTTTTTGGCCGCTTTGCAGCAATACATCGTACAACTTGTTCAGTTGACGACTGCAGACATATGCAGTGACAATTTGATACGGTTTTAGCAGCCGATAATGCAGCACTTGTTGATCGCAGCACACGCATAGCAAGACTTCATGGTCATGAATATTCCGCTTCGATAGATGGTTTCGTGGGCTAAACTATGGATTTTTGCGCTTTAGATTGAGCGGGCAGTTTGAGCAGGGTTTCGCCCAATAAGTCTTTTAGCCTTCCAGGAGGTTCCTTGTTATTGATATCAAAATCACCGTCATTGTAGAGTAACCTCACCACAGGCTTCTGAAATTGTTTGATAGGCTTCGGCAGCATGTTTCTTCAAATCAAACAACAAAAGCAATAAATGTTAAAAATGCAGTTTAAATGGTCGGTATGCACTGAATAACTTAATACTACTAAAGGGAAAACCGTTATTTTACGTAGAGAAAGATCAAAAATCATCGAATTTAATCATTGTACACGTTGATATTTTGCATTACTTTACCGCTTTAATCAATAGATGTCGCTCATCAAAATACATACAAGCACCTATTATGTAATATTTATTCCAAATACATATTTCTCCTAATCAAACACAGAGCTTCGCTCGCAACCCTACGTCACTTCTGGTACAGGATATTTAAAAGTTGCAGACATTTATCCAATATCCAGAACGACTTCAAACAGACACAATATTATCTTTTGAATCGATTTAAGCCCGTTTGCCGACTTAACTTCGGTACGACCGGACCCCATATAATTTCGCATAGTTTTAAAGAGTCATTGCGAAACGGTGTAGGCTAATCAACGGTCGATCATACACGAACATAATTTACTTAATGATTTTTGAAATAGTCATTAAAAACTTTATAAGGTCTTCTCAACGAAGAAAGCCCCACAGTTGATAATTAATTGGAAATAAGTAAGCAAAACCAAGATTTAAACTGCTAAACAATCACTAAAATAGTCACTAATCTAACAACAGAGTTAACTAAAATTTTTTAATTACTCTTTTATAGTAAAGAGATGTAAGCCCATATCCGTTGCTGATTTGCTGACTTGCAGAAGAAGAAGAAGATGTAAAACCGTCAGTTTAATGCTTAAAGTTTCTAACTACAAAGCTAAAAACTTCATTGTTGTGTTTCGAAAGACACCAGATTGGTAGGATATCTTGCTTAAATATGATCTTGAAGATTACGGAAAAAATGATTATATGAACCAAGGTTCTATGAAAACAATTGCTAGGACATTCCCTATCATGCAAAGCGATCTTCTTCGCTTGGTTCGACTTTGCACTTCAATTCAATTTACGTATTGAACAACCTTCGGATAAAGCTAGGTCAGTGCTAAATTTTATTAAACGCTGATTGAGGGAAGGAATAAGTAAGTAAGTATTTAGTGTTCGGAAATAATTTTTTATTAACTTTCAAGGTGCCTTAAATCATAAAAAAAAGCAATTCATTATTACAAAAAAGCTTTCCGTTGAATATTACGAGACATTTATAAAAGAAAAAATATTTTCCTGTTGAGACTCTGTTACCTATCGTTTTCCGATACATCTAATCCCCTAGCCCATGACTTTAAAATGGGTCGATCTTCATTTAAAAACATTTTGAAACAAAATTACAATAGAACAGTTTCCTCAAGACAATCATTGAGTGGGTATGCGGCTGAACGCGATTCGAAAGAACTCAACATCTCCGCTAAAAAGTTCAAAGTTTAGGATGCAGAAAATTTGGCAAACTCTAGTATAAAATGTTTTAGGAAAGACAGTGAAAAAGAATATTTGCTTATGGAAGAGCAGTTTTATGCTCCTGGAATAGTAAATTAATTCATTTAAACGTCCCTTTTCTAAAACCGAACCCAGGAATAATTGTAATTTTTTTTATTTAAGTTTTTTGCAAGACTTTTATTATTACGCACATATGTGGCTTTGTCCTGACCGGATATGAAATTGTCTGCTTCAAATATATGTAGCCACGCAAAAATCTCTGCTTTTGAAATCGTCTACGTATGTCACTATCGGTTCTCGATTATCAATGGTTTTTGAGTTTGTGCACCTTGATTGCTATCGAATCGAGAAAAGTGTTTCAGTCAAAATTCTTGCGATATCATTAGCAAAAGTTGGGATCCAAGTTACTCGATATCGAGAATTGTAAACTGACATCAGATTAAGTGAGGTTTTTTTTTTCTTAGATTCAAATTTGCGTCAGTTGCGCCCTGCTTGCCATGTTTGTAACATAGTCAGTCTCTATTTATAAAAGTCTCCTATTTAGGCATGATCACAATGATTATGTTAACAGCAGCTGCAGTCACCTATAAATACCGATTAATTTAGTAACAAGTGCAACGAACGTACAAAAAGGCGCCCATCGGAGATGTCTCGTATACGTGGTAAGTTTCTGAAAGGAATATTTTGTCCGTGCTAATGGATTTATCAAATCTGCAAACAATGAATAAAGAAACAAATCTTTTGCGATAAATTTACGATTTCAATGCTTCGTTGTTATAAGAATGCGTTCACACATTTATTTAAAACTTCTGAAAACTGAAATGCAGCGCAATTATCCATCGCTTAACACGGTTAATTCGTAGAATAGTGTATGGAAACTGGGTTATACACAATTTTTTTATTTATTAATATAAACCTAAACATCAGTCAAAGGAAATCTGCATCGTATTGTATCAAGTCCGCGTCATAAAATGCCTTGAAATGAAATCAAATCTTAAAGTATAATATTTTATGGAAAAAAAGCTATTAGGAGATTTCGTTCCAATTGTACATGGAAAGGAAAAAGTAAGTTAACTTGACGTTTTCAAAAAAAAACAAGCAAGAAATTTTTATTTTACGATCAAGTCTTCTATACCCATCACCGTTATCCTATAAAAGATTGAACAGGTAAGAAAGTTGTATTCGGTCAGGAGCGGATCTTTTATACCCATCACCGGCTAAAAAAAGGAAAAAGAGCTATATTCTCGTATTCTATGAGATTGGATGGGTGCGGCTGATTTTCCTGCTTTCAGAATAAAAGCACAAATTTGTATAATGTATGTGTCGTACTTTACGACTAACAACTGGAAAAGTTGCGTAACAAATGCGTTTACTGCTTTCGTTGCATACGCTTGTAGGCATTGTAGGATCATTTTAAAATTTGTTTGCGAACGGGATAAAGTTTGCCACAGATACTGCTCGGTTGGGCAGACGAACATGCATTCCAAATTTGATACTGGCCAAGAATTCATATACTTAATAGGTTTTCTCAAGCTTCTTTGTACGCGTTACAAAGATATTGAAAAAAAATTGAATGTTTCCCCTTCTTGTACAGCTTGTACTGCTGTAGTTTATGAGCTCCAAAACAATTTTCTATTCCTTTTGAAACACAGAAGTGTCCGCACGTTACGTAGTACTGCAGGCGTGCCTTTCGACTAATCTGGCCCATATTTAATATCAACCTGGGTACAGGAGCCTCCACTGTTTTCGCTAAATTTGAAGTCGATAGCTTAATTTAGGCGGCCAAGAGAATATTTACAACAGACTTTGCGCAAATGGGCAAGCAGACTGACAGACGGACGTGTTTAAATCGATTAAAAATGTGTGCGATCTCTGAAACTTCCTTCTGGGCGTTGAAAATGTTTTGACAAAATTAATATACCCATCGCCGAAGGACGATGTGTTCGATTTGTTTGAATTGATTTCGTATCAAATTTTGCAACTTAGTGTATCGAAATTGTTCTTTACAAGTACCGGGTTAAGCGGAGAACACCTGTAAACAGTATAAAGGTTTTTTCTTCATCCTCATGCGCTTATTGTTTACTCACATTCTTCTATAAAAAAGTATTAAATAGTCAAAGACATTTTCTGCAGCTATGAAAATATTTTTTATTCAAACGGCAAATTAAAGCGTACGGCCTTCGTGGACGCGCTGGGCGTAGCATATTGAAATTTCATTGACCTCCACACGGACATGTACATATGTAATAAATTCTTTGAGAAATCTTAAGGTCGTTTAAAAATGGGCAATAAAAACACGTGAACACTTTTATTTGTAAACAGTTGCAATTAAATACACTTGGCACGCAATAAAGTATTTATTGTGAATTGGCACGTTCTTACTTTCCCATACGTATTCTCGTGAAGACTTTCTGCTTACACACCCAGTAATGGATTTTAAGACATTTTAGTATGCTAAGCATGCAAGAAGTTTACTAAAAATTAACGGATTTCGTTTTGTGAAAACAAAAAGAAAACCAAAAGCAATAAAGTAACAGTTACGAAGCAATAGCTCTAAGATCCGGTAAATATTGCTGTTATACGTCTGAGAAGAAAGCAATTTCAGTTAAGTTTAGCGTATATTCTTTTATTCCATTTCTAGTTAATTTTAACAGCAAAGTGTTTTTTGTTTTATCTTTTACTTGCAGGCTAAGAGTAAGTGAGCAACATATCACAAATATATATAAATATTGCAAACATAAACTTATAAAAAAAATATAATAATAATAATAATAATAATTACATTAAATAAATTAAGCTATAATTACATCTAATAAAATTCTAGAAAGAGCATAACAAAATATATATTTAGTTGAGATCTTTGTAATAAAGCTACCACAAAAAAAAAAAAAAAGAATAAATAAAATGAAATTAAACTATGTTATAAATCGAAGCATTTTTGCATTTTTGCTACGGGCCACGTATCAGACCAAAGCCAATCTTTGAATGGACTATTTTCAATAGCTTCTGTTGATACAGGTAAAGCGAGACAATTGTTCTCATCACAAATGTTACTGCTATTGCTAACAACGTGCTGACAATTACGGCCATACACGCAATGTATGCATGCATTGAGCGAGGATGGCTTTTCGATGTTAACGCTTCTAATGAACACTTCGGGTTGCAGGCGCAAAATTATTTCTTTATGCTTACTGGGATCATCACCATCGACTGCCATCCAATGTTCATCTGCAAGTAGCTTATGATTTGTGCTAATTTCTTTAGCTTGTTTTACGGGTTTATCATAAGTACTTTCTTTATTTACATTTGCTAAAGCATTATTTAGATTGACATTATTTGGAACTGAACTTGTTACTGGAGCTTTTTTATTTCTTGTTTTCAGGGAAATTAAACGTTCAAGCGGTTTCAAGATTTTCTTCAATGTGCACTTTTCGTTTTTCTCTACCATCATCATCGTATGCATTGTAACATCATTATAATGGCAAGCATTCATTGCATTCTTAGTATCTGTGAACATTTTGCCTTCAAATGGTTATAATAACAAAAACATAACCAAACAAATCTTCAATGTTTTCTTTCGTTTCTCTCCCTTTTTGGGTTTCTTTTTTCTTTTGTTTTGCTATTCTCAAAGTTCTTTCTTGTCTTTAATAATCAAACGTGTTAACGGGCTGCGAGTCGCTTGTATACTGATGCTGGGCCGTTAAACAGCACTGAGTTTTATACAAACGACCAACGAATGCTGCAGAAGACCAAAACAAATGTTTATAAGATATAATGTGTGTGTATGTATGTATGTAGAAGTATATATACTCGTTCGTACCTAGTATGCCATAACGTTCGGTGTGAGAAACAAACTGCACTTCCCATGCACATTCCAACAGGAATCACTTATGTCTTATTATTTTCGGTGTGTATTTCCCATGCCATGCTAACATAATCATCATCTTCTTCTTCTTCTTCTTTAACATACAGTCAGTCGCCTAAAATAACCTGAAAGGGCAGCGTACAAAAACAAAATAACTAAAAAACGCAGGTAGCTCATCGATTGTACTGTCATCGTTTGTGTGTAAAGAGATTAACCAAACAGACCCTACTGCGTTCACATTAAAGTATAGCCTAAAAGAAGAATCGAGCAACAGTCCCAAAAAGTGTGGGAAACTTTTTTTTTTTTTTTACTTTTTTTACTTAATTTATATCCCTCTTTCATACACTCACACACTTTACCTCCGTTCTAGCAAGATCAGGGTGATCAAATTTACAACATAAACAATCAATGGCGTAGCAATCATAAAATATCTTCAAAAGGGAAAAGAGATAGAAGACTTTTTATTAGTTGGCATTAGCAACAAGTTGATCTAATCGCTATATATCGCTGTAGATCAGCCAATCCTCACTAGCACATCCAGCAATGCCTTATTATGAGTACAAGATAGCAGAAAGCTTGTATATAGGCAATAGGATATTATACTAAATTCTATAAAACTCCGTACATATCCACTATTTGTGCCCTATGACGACCTCTTTATCTATGAAATTTTGTCCTCCTGATCGCAAATTTTTTTCAGCTTCTCGTTAAAGAGGGGAACTACATTGCTTTTCACGAAACTAAGAAACTGGGGAATGTGTACACTTGCTTTTTCATAAGTCCATTCGATGGAAGAAGCCTTTGTGAAACTTTGTAAAATTTTCTTAATAATGTGTTGAAGTCTGAGAGCATTAACAGCTTTGTCATGCTTATCAAAAATTTAGAAACTATAGACAATATAAGTGTAAATAGTACGCTTTCCAGAGCCAATAGACTTATGAACACTGTAAGTTAAGGTGAAACTAAAAGGGCAGCCTTCAAAAAGTTAAAACTCTAAACTAATTACTGCCTTAGTGATTTGCTTCCTCTATTATCACCCAACTGTACACGCTGTTGTCCATGCGTTAAAATACTCTAACATATGTTTTCAAGTACCACGAACATTCAATGATTTGAACTACATTCTGATTTCTGCTAAAAATGGAATGAAAATTGTTATTGTCAGATCTTCTGATATTTCAATGCGTTTTTGACTCTGTATACATGATTCTAGATACGAGGTGCGTTTCTGCTACGTTACTTTTTCATTATTTAGAATTCTAAATATTTCATCCCTGCTGATATATTGGTCTTCGTGTTTTTATAAGAATATAACGACATAAATGAGTAACGTGAAAGCTAAACGATAAAGTACGGCTACATTCAGAAAAAACTTCAGTATCCTCTTGGTATGGTGCTTTTAGTCTTTCATTCTACTTTTCCGCAGCTTTGAGTAAAGAGTAGAATAACCATTTTTAGGCAAAGTCTGGCTTTATAATACCTACAAATACACCTTAATGGGAGATAGATTGTTGATTAGCCCAACATTCTTAGTAAGGACGCGTGACATCATTTGCGAGTACATTTATGTATTGCAAAAATTGACTCAATGTCGAAAGCTTTTATGCGTCAACTTAATGTTATGTGCAAACATTCTTTATGGCTAAATAAAAACGTGACCTGGGTGCCTAAAGTGAATGAAAACCCCTCGAAGTCTAAATGTTGAATTGAATTATTTCTCAGAAGCCTATTAAAAACATTACCATAATGGTCATAAAGAAATGAGAAATTGACAGACATAGTCAGATCCGCTGGTCTTTTCGCGTTTGTTGAGACACTTCAACTTGTTTTCCTTCCCGCCGTTTCTTCAACGAGCAGACAGGTTTACTTCAGCCAATTATGTATTGAACACGCAATTTCCTCTCGAAAGTAACGAGACGCATCTGCTCCTATGATTACCTTACTACACAAAAAGGAAGGAATTAAAATCAAGAACAAAAGCAGGTCACAAGAAAAAAAGAAAACGCAACCATGGGAAAAAGGATTTTGAAAATGTTCCCACGCAAGGATAAGTACAATGTTAAAGAAAACAAATTATTACAGCTCATCAAATCACATCTTTCCGTTATATACAATTGTTACGTGATCTTTTAATCATAAAAAAAATATACATATAAATTGAAATAAGATAAATAAATGAAAGGTGAAATAATTCACAATATTATAGCATTTAATTATTGTTTTTAATAGAAACTGTATTCTAATCCAGAAGAAATAATTACCGATTTTTTTTCGTTTACTTTTAAATTGAGATAACTTTATCATTATATGTCCTTATGTACATGGCATGATTATGCCAAGTTATGCATTGGATTTGATTGGACTATTGCTCACGTCTGTATACTCTTAATTGCCCCAATTATCGGCCTAATTAGTCGAGTAGGTAAGTACCTTAACTACCAAGTAAGTAGTCGCGTATTCAAATCTCAAAGTTCGGTAGGGCTTACTTTGGTCGTCGCTATAGCACGTGCGCAGTCGGTAAACCATAACAATCATCGATAATGCACACATTCACTAGGCCGCGGCGCGACCACATCCCTATTTATTTCTCTTACCTCTCTTCTTGCTGACAGTCATCATATTACACGTAAAGGGGACATGCCCTGAGTGATTCGTCAAACTAAAAAAAAAAAACAAAGAAAAAAAGACTAGTTAGCCATGTCCATCCATCCGCATGTTGAAATTAGACAGAAGATTAAAAAAGATTCATTATGAAGAGCGGATTTTCTTTTATCATTTGGCTTCGAAAATTAGCGATCACTTCGTTTAACTACAAAAGACGCACACAAACACAGACGTGCATAAGAAAAAAATGGGGCATTCGATAATGTTTTCTGTTAGTTCAACTCTTCTCCTCTTGTTTATCATCTTTCATTACCCCACCCTTTACTGGATTTAAGTGATCACATTTTCCTTTTTTCCACTTCATGATATTATTGAATACTAAAATATATTATTAACTAAAGCCAAAACGACTTTGTTCAATTCTCAGCAGTATATTTCAAAATCGCAATAGAACCCAACCTTTGATGCGATCAAGATATCAAAACGTATCTTCGCTGTATCGTGAAATGCAATTTCGGGGAGTGCTCAAGAATTCGATGCAAACTCAGGAACCATTCCTTTCTTCATTTTTTTTCTTAATTGTTTTTTGGCTACCGTAGCATTTTAAACATAACCGACAATTAAAATTTGGAGCGGAAGTAATCCATTCAGGTTTCTAAATGTTTTATTATCGGCAATTATTTTTTATGAAAAATAAAAACCGAGTTTGTTTAAAAAAGTAAACGTGACAAAAAATTAATGTACATTGAAAGGTTTTTCTTCGAAATAAACGGAAGAATAATGAATCGTTTTAAACTAAATCTCTGCCTTGTGATCCATTCACGGGCGATTAAGGTTTGATTGAACTGCAAAAATAGACAGGCATTTTTTGCTCTTACATTATTATGATATCCAATATATAAAATCAGTCAGCTCAAATATCTAAGCAATTATTACCATTATTACGTTAAGGTTATATAAAATTAAATTAATGACAATAATTGGCTTTAAATTTCGAATGCATCTTTGCGTCACAATAAGAAAGCATTGACATCGGCATACGACTTAAATTCTAAGTGAAGCGTTGAATATTAGGTTGGCAAAAGATTGTTGACGCATGCATATTAGATCGAGTCTTTTTCGTACGTAATAAGCGCGAATGTATTCGAGAACTTTTTTTTGAAAAAACAAAGGAATGAATCGACATATTTTTCATATGTTATATCTTTGGTAAAGGAGAAAAATTCACTGGCACTTACAAAAGTTATGAGTAGCCGGACAGTCGAAAATTCTTTCGATTGTTGTAAAACTGTTAAGAAGTTCGATACTAAGTTTCCACATCATTACATAATTTTCGGTTGTCACAAACACATAACGCTCAGAAGGTCGGGATTCGAAAACGCGGGATACTTTGTTGAGTTGTGGTGAAAAACGATTTCGTGAGGCTGCAGTAAGATCGCATACCTATTTAAATTGTTTTCAAACAAGGAAACGACCAAAAAGTTGCATTTTTAGAAAGGAAAGGAACAATGCGTTATTTGCTAATAACTACTAATACAAGTGCTTCTTCAAGCAACCCGTCAGATCACAATTAGCTAATTACACTTATTAAAAGAATATCTTGGCTATCTCCATATACTTGGAGTGTAGTAACTTGACGCGGTGGCCACGCAACACAGGGCAAAGTAACTTTCGTGTTCGTAACATATCAATAATTTACCACAAGCAGACCAAACAAGACGACGAAAACTAGCTAAGAAAACTATATACAACTTAGGGAGAATTTTTAATCTCTTTGTTCTTGGGGAAAATCTTTAACGCTTACTTCTTTTTCTTTGCTTTGTATTGTTTTGTTTGCAAATATAACTTTACTTTTAAGAAAACCATCTCTGTTCTATCCCAAAGAGATCATATGATAGTGGACGTGATAAATATTGCAACTAATTCCTCACGTAACAAAGGGAAAAAACGTATCGTTAATTGCTCACCACTTGGCATTGAACATAAATTGAAGTAAATTGAAGATTCAATGCCTTTGCTTTGTTCATTCTTTTGTTTGAAAAATATCGAACACCCTACTTGTGGACTGCTGTGAAGTAAGTGCCGCTTTCACCATAACTTTTTTTTCGAACAATTATTACAATAGTAGTAAAATGTTTGCTGGGTATAATATTTTGCAAATCTGTTTATGTTCTGCTAGCAGCAGTCATGCGCCGGTATTGTCCTCTGCTGCTAACTTTTCATAAAATGTTAACTCTGCATACAACAAAAGCCTCTGTGTAGGCACGTATAAATGCACACACAATCAACGATCACACGAGCAATGAGTAGTTAACATATAGTAGCTCGTGCCAATTGTGCGCGTGTGCAAAGCAAGCTCACAACACTAACTCTTTTTCTTTAACGATCATTTATTTTGTTTTTTTCGTATAAGTTGTTTTTTTTTTTTTTTCATTGAATTTTATAGTTCAACTGACAACTTCATTTATTTATAATGAAGCTTAATTATAAAATGAATACCTACTTTGTCTTTCATTAAGATCTTTAAAGGTTCAACTCAAACTGTCCTTTGAGTAGATAATCATCCAATCTTGCGTGATAAAGATAAATCAAAAAAGCTATTGTTTAAAAAATAAAAAGGAGATTTTTGTTACGCTTTGATAAACATTTCTTTCATTATTAAAGGAATGTCTCGGGTTTTTCCGTTTTGGCGATTTGGTTCAAATAAGTTATTTTTCGTTTACTATTAACTCTTTCATAACATTTTCGATAATACACTATATCTCCGACGTCAAACACTATCACCCTAACTACCTTATATTGTTAAATATTTATCTAACAACCCCTGCCGCCATTCCTTACATGCTAGAAATTATCTAAATTCCCATTCAATCCTATCAACTTAATCACCTGTTGAAACTAAGATCGTTGCAATCGTTTCGATAAATGGACCATTAAATATATGATGAGGTAGATCTTAACGGCCTAAGCATAAATTCTTTTCATTGTCTGCATGAGAGTGTTCCCGAATTGATAACACAAGGTAGTGCACGAAATGAATAGAATTTTGGGTGTGAAATTGTAGGCGAAAGCATTGGTTATACTATTAATTTTGTTTGACTTAACACTATCTTCAATAGACGAACCATTTTGTGCTGCATCGCAATGGGCACAGGAAAAATGGGATTGTCACTGGAAGCAATGTGCAAGACAATGGCAAGCAAAAATATTCAATACATTTTCCAGCACGGCACACAAACTATCGGAGCTAAGAAGAAGCGATCTACGCTTCGTCACAAGTGCGGATCACCTGAAAAACATGAGTGTCTCCGATACCCTTCCCGAGACTCTTCGCTTGTAAATTGCATAATTCAAATGCGATATGAATAGAGTAAATTTGCTCAGATGAGAAATGTTAATTCATTTTATTTCTTAATATTAAGATTTAATATAAGATTTTGGATAGGGGAAATGTTGCTTTTGCAAACAAACATATTAATTCACTGTTGATGATTAATTATATTCCTTCCGCTCAATCTTATCGATTGTCTCTCTCTCTTTCCAGCTTGATATATTCGATAAGCAATTTCGATTTAGCTTGGCTGAAGCCCATCCGACATTAACAACGCTATTTCCTTGCATATAGATAGATTGCACGTTGGGCAACGGCGATCATTAAATATTGTAGATTACTTTATTTACTTTCGTGATAAAATACCAAAAAGTAAAGGCATTATTTTCGCACGAGGTTATCAAACTGTGAACTGATATGGGCGAAATTTAGCAAAATTAAATTTCTTGTTATTTTTCATCTATTTCTGTTATAAAAAATTGAAAATTGGATTGCTTTCCTATATAAAGGCGTACTATTTATAGAAAACCTTATACTTGATGGGATCGAGAAGATAAGTCTAAGTGGTCTAAATTCAAAACAGTTAATACACGTCTAAGAGCATTTTAGCCTACTTTTCGAGTAAACGGCTACATTTGGAGGGGTTCAAAAAGTTGATTCAACCGATTCAAATTTTCCACATCAATTGCCATAATATTATCACTCCAAGATTTTTGGTAAGAAATTGAAAAATGCTAATTTTTTTGTGTAACGAAGTTTGACAGATAAGCCGCTGTACGGGGAATATTCGCAAGTATTCTGACCTAAATAATTATTAATAATATCAATGTAATAAATTTCGTCAAAAATAAGTAATATATATTATGACTTGTAAGTCGAACAGGAAAATGTGGTGGACAGGCAGACCGACTGACAAGCAAGCAAACTTAAAACGAATCAGAAACTGATTCTCAATCGATAGATATTATAAAAGTTGGATAACTAACTGTTTTTATACGGTAGGTACGTCCCTTAGAAAACCGTGCAAAAAGAAATATGCAAAAAATACATTATACGAGATACAATTTGTGTAAAATAAAGAAACTCCAAATATTTTCTCAGAAAACCATGCAAAAAAAGTAAGAAGAAAATTATATTCAGTCATGACCGAATATTTTATACCCATCACCGTTGCCCTAAAAAAGACAAAAAAAATAAATGATCTAAATTTTGATGTTCTATAAAATAAAGTGGGCGGGGTTGATTTTTTCTATTTTTAGAATAGAAGTGGAAATTGTATACGTTGTAATTTTTAAAAAACAATCAAAAAACAGAAAGCAAAGGTATTCAAAATTTTTGTTGCATAGGCATGTGGGCCTTATAGCCGTGTCGTTTGACCAGCTTGGATCACTTTCAAATTCGTTGCAAATTTGTAAGCCTTAGCTTAATTTTCACTAACGGGAGAATGCTGCACCGTAGCGTATAGAGGCAGAAGACCGAAAGACATGTTTAGGTGCATTCCAAATTTGGAAATGGCCAGGAATTTGTATACTTTATTCGGGTTTTGAAGCTTGTTCTTGCCCCCTAAAAAAGTGAGGTCAATTTTTCCTCTTTTCATACAGGCAGTGCAGAATCGTTCATACGTTATATGGTCAAATATTTGTAGATTTATCCGCTGTAGTTTATGAACAATGAGCAAAAAACAATTTTTTATCCCTTTTGAAAAACAGAGTTGTCCCCACGTTATGTAATACGGTAGGCGTGTACTTCTACTGTTTTGGCCCGTTTTCAATGCCAAATTGCGTGCATAAACTTGCATTTTTTCTGCCAAATTTAAAACCGATAGCTTCCTTTTTGCGGTTAGAAGAATATTTACAATAAACAGATACCCAGACGGGCAAGAGTACATCGATTCAGAATTTGATGCTGATCGAGAATATATATAACCTTCGTAGGGTCTTTGATGATTCCTTCTGGATGCTACAAACAGATTAAAATTAATGTACAGTGAAAATTCATTAAACATATATAAATTGAAGTTGAAAGTAGGAACAAAAATCAGTTTCGCAACTATTCATCTTTACTTGATAACAAGCGCGCACGTTCATGGCGTACTGGATCAAACATGCTTTCATCAGTAGATATGTCGGCTATGTCTAGCACAACTGCCGGGTTTGATTCAAAAGAAGAATTGCATTCGTTATTAACCGCAAAGTAGCAGAAGAGAAAGTCACTAACAACTGTGTAGGCATGCATTGATGGACTTTTGATCAGAGTATTCTCTCAAGCATATTTTGTTGCTGCATGCATCAATTTCTTTGAGACAACACTATCAAAATTAGAATCAAAAAAACCTTTTTCTTTTTTTTAAATTCATATTTGCCCTCATTAACAACCCGTCTTATTTCAAAATCGTGTTAAAAAAGACGATGTAAGAAAATAATTGGGTGGGCGTAATGAAAAAAGTCACTTTTCTCTTTAAAAACTAAATTTAAACAGTTTGGAAGAAGCCAAGACCATAGCCACACAAACGCTTTCTGCTTTCTCGTTTCCCAGCGAGTTTATTTTAAATTTCTATAAATGATTTCTGTTCGTAAATTTCCAGTAAGGGCTAGGTTAAAAAAAAGAAAAACAGCTTTTCAAGTTATTCGCAAATAGAACATATTCATCAAAATTTCGTCCAAAGATTGTTTTTGCTACTAATGTTTTATTTAGAAAAACACGATTTTCTTTCGACAAATGTATTTGTTTACTTTCGACTTGTAAGTATAGATTTTCTTTTTGCTTAATGGTTGTAAATATATTTGTAAATGTAGCTAAAGGAAATATACATAGATATCACAATATTTAAAGCTATTAATTTACCAAAATTAATTATAATGGCATTAAAAAAAAAAAAAAAAAAAAAACAATTAACTAATTTATGGAAGACACTGTGAAGTGAACGACATTTAAAACACTAACACACTAAGTTACGCTTGAGCCCAACGATCTCGCATTTGATTGACTGCTACTTGATTTGTTGTACAACAATATAAAGGTTCAGCCAAGTCATTGTCAGCAGCAATATCGGTGGCAGCCGTCCAGAAAAATGTACCTTGATCGGTGCGCATAAAATGAACAGGTATCGGTACAACATCACTTAATTCGTAATCTTCGAGATGGTGGATGGAGAAAATCTCAGAACGGCACTCGTTTACCATATTCTCACTTTCAGATTCGATGTCAGCATTTTGATTATTCTCCAATGATTCAATTGAGTTTAATGACTCTAACGTTTCGCCAGCATTTTCAAAATGTTGCAATTTCTCCGACTTACGCTGTTTGAAATATTGCTTTATGAGTTTCTTAAGGCTATACGTGAGTTTCTTTTCGTCATTCTTCAAGCCCATAGCGTAGGCAGTATTGCTTGAAATCTCTTTGCACATATTGTAGAAAATTTAAACAATTTATTTCTTTTGCTGTTGTGTTCACTAAATGAATGCTTATCGTGGAATGATGTGTTATCCTGCAGCTCGACCCAGTTTTTATACCATGCTCGGTACACAGAGTCAGGTCGATGATAAACAACCATAATAATAACAACAACAACAACAACAATAATAATAATAACAATACGCACAGGCAGTTGCTTTGCCTGACGATCGGTTTTTTGTATAATGTGTGGGAACGTGCAGGGATATACACAAATTGAACATTGAATCATGAAAAAGTATATAAAAACGCCAGGTGCATTTTAAAAATTTTGAGGCTCTTCTCGTTAACCTGCATGAGTAAGTGAAGCGGCAACATATAGTTAATCGTTTTTACTTACATAAATGTATGGTACGTACATGGGAGTGTCATAATAAAGAAATGCTGTTTGAGAAGTGAAACGAAGCAAAGCAAAACCTTATCCTTTTAAAAGAATCGTGGGAAACGAAAGTATCGTTATGTCCCACACTTTTAAGTGAAGAAACGAAAACGTAAAGGATCCTTTTTTGTGTCCTTAAGAAAATATACACAACAGCTTTAAAGATCACTATTGTTGTTTTTGCTTTATTAATATATACGATCTCTTATTACTTGCACTATAATGTTAAGGCATCTTTTTATTATTGAAAAAGTCCTTTATATGAACACGTGTACGTATTTAGAGTTCACATTACATACAAGAATAAAACGCAAGTCATACAGCCAACCACATGCAGACATCAAATACTGGAACAATATATTTTCAAAATATTTAGTAAAGAATTTCATTCTTAGGCACAATAACATAATAATTATATTATACTGTGAGGCTTAACTCAATCTTAATGAAAATTTCATGTCGTTTTTGTTAATTTGTTTTGCATTCTCATTAAAGCCTACAAGAGTAAAAACTAATAATAGGTAGCGGTAGCATATATTGAGAATAGGATGTATGAGATAAGAAAAGTAACAGAGAGAAAGAGAGAAAGATTCCTCTCTTGAAATAGAGAAATCTGTACATGCCATTAGGAGATTGTTACAGAGCTGATGACACCTAAGTATCTGGTCATTTTTGCAAATGCCCATCAAAAATATCAGCTTTTAGCGTCAATCTAATATTTAAAAAAAAAAAAAAGTTCAAAATTTTTGGTTTCTTACTTTTACTGTGGTATCCATGGTATCTCTGCGGTATCTTACTTTTACTGTGATATATCTCAGCATATAAAATTATTGACGATTATTCCAGAAAATTCCAGAAATAAGTAAACGGATAGAAAAATGCAAGCAAATTGTGTACTGCATAGGTTCTACGGTATTGTCTCTAAATGTTACAAAAAAAAAAGTTAACTGAAAGAAAGGGAAAGGAGGACCTATCCGGTAATGGATAACAAAAGATGTTCGGGTCTCTTCAGGCAAACTATGTACTAATATGCCCCATTAGAGATGTGGAAAAAATATGAACTCATAAAATCGTGACTTACGCGTTTTATACCCTTCAACACTTGTGATAGAGACAATGTTGAGTTTGTGCGAACATATATGAAACGAAGATAGACTTTTCTCTTATTGGGCCCGTCTGCCCGTCTGAGATAGGTCCATGCCGACTTGCGTTCGCAATTTTAGAGATGTTTCGATGAAGTTTGGTACGCTGGCGTGCTTTGGCCCAAGAACGCTATTGAAAATGGTTTGGATCTGTCCATACAACGCCCAATTTAAAAAAAAAATCGCAATTTTAAAAATGTCTTAAGCAAAGTGACTAAGTAATAGTATTTCGGCATTCTGAATTTGTCTGAAAATTTTGGACAATTTGGTGAACCCTCTCTCTAATAGCTTCATGATACAAATCAAATCGTAATAGTAATGTAAGATAGAAATCATTAACTGTATTAAATTTGGACGATCTCTATCTTTTAGAGGGATTTTCCCGAAAATTGATCCCTTTTATAGGGCAGAAAGGTCTAAGTTTTAACATAGTATGATAAAAATTGATCCGTAATAGTAGATATAAAAAGTAACTCTATAACCACCACATAGGTATTCTACGCCTATTTTCGAATTTTGGTTTTTTAGGGTAGAAAATTCTAAGCTTTAATATATACAAACAGGATATAATTTTTGTGTTCTATAGCAAAAACAAAAATTGAGGTTAGACAATGTGATGTAGGTTATTTAGTGGTCGTCCCAGTCCCATACCAAATGTAAAAAATTCGGTAAATAGAGCTGCGAAAACCCGAATTTAAACTAGTTAAGTTTGCTTGAACGGTATTTTTATATATTTTCATAACGTGTCCACTAAAAAGTTCAAGTATACCTTAATCCTAATTAAGGAGCGAATGTCATCGTACTGAAAAATAAAGATGTTATAGCTTCCAGTATATTGTGTCGGTTCGTCGACCCGATTTCATCAATTGTGATTAGTAACTTTGGCGAGTAAAGGCAAGAAATTCGATGCGTGCAATAAAGTCATAAAACCATGTTGCGTGCGATAAAGTCACTTGTACCGTTTCGTGAAGCTGAAGAATATTTATTTTCAATACCAATGTATAGTTGCATTCAGTAACTCATAGCACTAGTTATATCCTCTTTTGGAAAACAAAGGGGACCCGACATACATTCGTGTATATAAATGCAATTTTAAATTCAAGTAAAATATTTCTAACTCCAAGTCTTTATTACCTAAATACATAATTGAAAGTATTTCCATAGAAATGTTCTATGCTCTCTGTTGACATAAACATTTCATCCTACATTCAGGAGGAAAATTATATGTAGCTATGTAAATTAATACTGATTTAAGGGTCTCAGCTTTCTCTGTAAAATTTCATCTTCTTCACGAAACTCTGCAATCATTTCCCTAAGTTTAGCTAAGGACTTGTTAAATGGACACCATGTTCGAGTTTCAGTAAAGGTTTTTTTACTTTTTAAGACGTTCCGTTTTAGAAAAGCTATTTCAATTGTGGCGCCATTAGACTAAAACGTATTTCTCTTTTCAAAGAATATCTTCAAACTGATGTTATTCATCGACTATGATTTTTCTTTCCAACTAAAATTTGTGAAGTTATTGTTAATAACAACAGGCGAAATAGGAAGGAATCGGAACGCAATACCACAATAAAAAGAGTCGTTTGTAGTTTGTTATTTTTTTTTTAAGATCATAACAGATAAATCTTCGCTTTTTTGTTAAAGTATTTGAGGATAATAAAGAATAAAGGAAAACAAGTAAGAAACCTATATTCGACAGCTACCGAATCTTTTATCCGCAACACCGTTTTTCCAAAAAGGAACTCAAGGAAAAACTAAATTTCCATACTCCATAATATTGGATGGGCGTGGTTGATTGTTTCTATTTTTGTGGAATAAAAGTGACGTTTATGTATTACGCCTAAAGCAGACTATCGGTACCTTTATCACAGCAATTAACAGACAGATGGATAGACGTACTGAAAAAAATAACGTAAACCAGTTCACATTTGACACTGATTAATAATATGTAGACGTTATAAAGTCTCTGAAGCTTCTTCAAATTTTTCTTTTGTTTTCCTAAAGAGAGTCGCACTCAGGATACGTCGTACCACATTCAATATAAAATCGGTTTGGAGTCAAGAACTCTGAAGTGTTCTTCTCGGTGTTGCAAACGTTTTCACGAAATGAATATATCTCTTATCTTTCGGTAGGTATAAAAAAGTAACGAAGTGCACACAACGTAAAAACATTTCAACGATATCACCCATATTGTCAACACAACCTTTAGTATTACTATAAGAAACGATGAGAAGCAATTTTGTCGTGTGTTTCCCACGAGATGAATGCACCTGTGCTTATACGTCTAGCAACTGTGTTGTTTTTTTTTTTTAATTTTGATGCTAAGTTTTTTTGAAGCTTTAATGTCGTGAACGACGCAAACACGTACGCATCGTTCGCTTATGATGGCTATGATGGGATAGGGGTCATAAGTTTAAATTTCACCGTGTTCCTTAATATCCATAAGTTATGTAAAGCATTTGTAAAACTCTGTCCGCGTGTCAAAGGTTGTATCGGAAAAAAATGTTCTTTTCCAACTGAGATGGTTTGAGAGCATGAATTTAAGCTGTATTTCTCGGTGGGCATTGAAAATTGTGGTGGAAAATAACAAAGAAGAAAGTTCCTGCGCTGTGTTCAAATCCAACCTGTATGCGACCGCAACTTTTACTTACAAAATAATTAACGGTATAGCGGTATAATATATGTACGACTTTTTTCTCTGAAGAAATAGGTCTTCGAGGAGATTCTTAGTGGCTGTGGTTACTTGAGAAGCCTAATGGCATTAAATATTGAGATATTAGATAGATTTCACATGACACAGCGGGTAACTGCTCTTTACCCATTTGGCCATTTTAGCATTTCATGAGTAGTGGGGATTGCCTCTCACCTCGGAGTATTAAGGATTTGAGTTATCCCTTTATATTCGTATACCGTGGAATTAAGTCTAAAAATATTTTCGCGCTCACGAAGTTTGCAAATTTATTAAGTTAAACTAAGTACGGAAAAGGTGTTATTATACCTGGACTGCAACACTACTTTATGTATAATATTATGTGAATGCAAGATGGCGCATGGATTGATTCCCTCAATATAAGTTTAATGATTATTCAAATCATTTTTTCACACCATTTGGCAGTAATTTCTAAGTAATAATATAAATTCAATTATTTGATTCGCTATTTGTACTTATATTTGGTCTTTGGTACTTTCGAATTAACCTTTGATGTAATCTAGTTTCAAAGGCAAATAACGAGATGTTTTAGAAAATGCCTAAGTTCCTAGAAAATGCTCTCGCCTTTTATTTTACTAAAACAAGGAAAATTAAAAACCGAATTGATAGTCTTTTAAGCACTTTCTGAGTAACGCTTGCAGAGTTTATTGAAAAAGATGGATTGAGATTTCAAACATATAACGAAAGAATTCATTGTTTTGTCTTTATCGAGAACTGGTCAGACTAGTCACTGAACTCGTTTCGTCAAAGAATCTTGTCAAAAAGTATTCCTCTCTTTTGTATGGTATTTCTTTAGATATTATAAAGATATCAGATCTATTTTAAGAATTAAGTTGAACGAGTAATATACATTCCAAATTGGAAGGTAGCTAACAGTGTGGAGATGAGCAATGAGTGTGATTAATGCAGTTCAGTTCAAGCAACGTAAGGATTTCTGGAAATGGTAGGGTTTTTCAAAAACTACAAGGCTAGTATGGGTATGCTTCTACATTTAAGTATTAACACCCAGGCCACGCTTAGCATCGTAGATTCGTTCTGAAAAAACATACCGCAAAGTGAATTGCAGTTTTTTATAGAAAATCGTATGAAAATCAAAGATAGGGTCCAAACATATTTTTTATCGATTATAGCATAAAGTAAAATAAAGGCAACATTTTTCTAATTAAAACAAGACAACTAAACAAAAATCAATAAAATAAATAAACAATATTACGCAATAGAAAACAAAATGGTGAAGAGAATTTAATTCTATAGAGGACTCAACTGGTGCTTCTTTGTTAAAAAATTTCTCCAAGGTCTGCTGAACAGATTGTTTTTTTTTTTTTTGCTTCTTAATATATTTCTTTGTAGCAGTTAATATCGGATGTTAATGTCAGAGCAAGTTTGGATCTTCGTTCGTTATCAGGATCATTTCTTGAAAAAATTTCCAGAGCTTCATCAATTAAACTCGTGGCTTTAGAAAGATTTTGTAATATAAAACTTCTTCGCTTTTAGGCTGCTTTTACCATCAGCACATTCGATAGCAAGATTCATTAATTCCTCGCCAGATAATTCATAGCTATCGCCAGTTAACAATTCGTCTATGTCCGATTCATTCATTTCTCCAAAATTCTTCTCTTTAGCCAAATCAGCGATTTCTTCACGAACAGTAAGAGTATCATCAAATTCTAAAGTTGAAAAATGGAAAAAAAACAGCAACGGACAATCAAAATCAGCCGTTATTCAAGAAAGATGAAACATCGGGAAAACGCAAAGTGGACCAACGCAAACCTGGGTCTGAGTGTATAAAAAAATCGAATATGCTAGAATTATATAACAAAGTCATATTACTCAAACGAAAACTGATATTGTTGTGGACGATTATAGGCTAATGCCGAAGTTTTTACTACCCCATGATTACTGATTGAGTCAAATTTTATATAGATCTTAACTTATAAGTTTTACGTTATGGATAACAATATTTAATTCCCCCAATTAATCACAAACATGCATATTTTACGAGATGTTTGTGTGTATTTCTAAAATTTATGTCACCTCTGAAGAAAACAGTTTTTGAAGCCCAATCATACTTAACTATTACAAATTTTGTCAAGGAACATTTTCTGGTAATGAAAGTTAAACAAATCGTTTAACACATTCTGCTCAAGTTCAATATATATTTTATTTTATCTAATTTCGTATAAATTAAAAATAAAATTCAATTAGTTTTGCATGTTTATCTTATGTCGTCTTTAAAAGCACCCTATGCGTTGTTTACCATACGTATTAATACAAAATTCCAATTTTGTATGCGTGTGCAGCTGAAATCCTTAACAACGTATTAAAGAAAACAATACAAACAATCATATAAAGGTGATGATCGTTGTGTGGAAACGCAATCGCAAAGTGTTTCCCACGATTAAAAATTGCACCGTTGACTGTCTACCTGCTTCCCTTACAAAATACAACACCACGCAACAACCCCTAAGTAACTCGTGTGTGAAACGAGCAAAGTTCAAAAAAACAAAAAAGACCAAAAAAATTAAAACTACATCACAACCACAACATCAAAAGTAATTTTAAGGAATCGATTGAGTCCTGTGTGCACACACAGCACCCCAATACTTTTACATGCATTTTTATTTTTAGAGTAAACGTCTCTCGTGCATGAGCACACTCTTGCATGCGTCTCTCTCAATTTTATTTTTCTCAAAGCAAAAAAAAAAATGCCTTTCTTTTTGGGTATTTTTGTTTGCATTCATTGCGTGTGTTGAGCACGAGTTCTCCAAATACTGTGGTGGACACGTGTGAGTATAAATACTTGGCACACTCTTTTTCTGGTATCATTCTTAGCCTAGTATTTGGATAGTAAACTACTAAAAATTCTTAAAAACAGACTTTCAATAAAAAGATCGCTAATATGATAACCGTAAATGAAATGTCAAAGACTTATCAATACCGTAAAGTGATCAAACCTCAACTGGAACGAAAACGTCGCGCTCGCATCAACAAATGTCTGGATGATTTAAAAGAATTGCTGGTTGAATGTATGCAGCAAAACGGCCAGTCAAATGTTAAACTTGAAAAGGCCGACATTTTAGAAGTAACGGTGCAGCACTTACGTAAATTGAAATCTCATCCTAAACAACAAATCTCTTGCAACAATCACATCGTTAATAAGCAAAGTTTTCGTAATGGTTACATACAGGCGGCTAATGAGGTTTCACACTGCTTAGCATCGCTGCCCAAGATTGATGTCGCATTCGGCACAAAACTCATGACTCACTTAGGATTACGCTTAAATCAGCTAGAGTCGGTCGAAGAAATAACACCCACTTCTATTAATACTCCTTTGACACTGGATTGCTCGACAACGCAGTTTTCAAGGCCGATATTATACAGTCCCGTTTCGAGTGGTTATGCTAGTGATAATGATAGTCTACGCTCTTCACCATCATTCTGCCCTTCAGCGCAAGGCCTATTAAAGGTGTCATCTACTTCCTTGTGGAGACCATGGTAACTCTCCCTCATTAAAGTACATTTTACCTTAACTAATAAGATCTGTTAAATAATTCATAAGTTTACCATACGAGTAGAAGCTTTATTTAACTAAACTGTGATAGGCTACCATTTTAATTAAGTAAAATTTTTGTTTTCGCTCATAAGAAATTGACGCAAGTTATTAAAAAATAAAATATTATAAGACAGAATGTTTTATATTGATTCAGTAATAGATGGTGGATTATTTATATTCATCACATAGCGCTGAAAATGGCCTTATTTTTTCATCGCTCTATGGCGGGAAGATAGGTGCACCAAAAACAGCCCCTACAATTAAAGAACGCAATTTCTTATTAGACACCTTACCTTAGACTTGCGATTTTCAAATTTTAAGAAACTACCTTGCAAAAAGGAAATGCTTATCTTTAAACAACATAACGATGAATGATGATGTAAATAAGGAAAATTTTGTTCATAGATTGCATACCGCTATCTCAAGGCAAGTAAAAAAAAAATTGAACAACAGTGACAAAATAGAGTTGCTATTATTAATGTTCATTTTATTGTAATAAACAGTGTTAAGTAAAAAAATAGTCAATTGAAAATAGAATATTTGCCGCCGAATCTTTTGTTCCCACCACATTTGTATTAAGAAAACTCATAAATAAACGAGAAAAATGAAATTACTATACATCATAATATTAGATCAATGTTTTCAATTCTTGTCCGTCTACTATGGGATCACCCATAAGGTATACAAGGAAATTTTTACTGTTATATAACTTCTGGGTAATGAGCAGAAACCCCTTTGCTTTGCTTTGCTAACAGATGTGCTTAGTTAACATTGCAGCGTAGGTGTAGGGAGTGACCGATTTGACCTCTTTCCTGCGTCAATTTGTCTCCACAAGTTTCTAATGTTTTTGCCAAATTAGTTGTCGACATCTTATACAGACATACGCTTATATATGCAGTCTGGCCAACGAGCAGAGACGCAGAACTACAGCTCAAAACGGATGAATGAGTATTTCGGAGAATTATTACATGTATTTTATCTTATGCAGTATCCGATCTGTCCTTTTTATGAGTTTATAAGTATTTATTAATTACAATGAAGTTCATAAATTATTTATCGATGATATTAATATTTATCGCATCCTTTACGAGCTGACAATTGAAACAATGCAAAGATCTAAAAGATCCTAAAAAAATATTGTTCTTGTTTTCACTTAATTTCAAACAAAATTCGTTTGTCTTTCTGTTGTACGTTTTTGCAAATTCTCTTATTCTGATGATCTTACAAATCACTCTGACTTGTTTAATCGATGCTGTTTGAAATCTTGTGTTTGAAGTTGACGTCCATTACTTTTATAGTTATGAAAGAGTTTTAATGAAACTTAATGAATGAATTCGCAATTAAATGTCTTCAGTTGCTAGTGCGAAGCAAGTTAGGCGGTATATTGTCCATAGGAATAAAATTATATTGCTCCAAATTTAACCAACCATAGTAGAATCAGTTGTTAATTAGTAATGGCATTGTTGTGAAGATGCCGTCGGTACGAGTTAATCACCAAATAACCAACAGAAGCAAGCAAACACGAAACGCCTCAGGAAAGATTTACATACAATGTTTACAACTTAGTTTGCGGCGAATATTCAATATCCTTAACACCCACTTGCGCTGATCGAGTTGTCTGTAATTCAGCATTTTTAAGTGGGTTTTCAATTATTCAATTTTGTTTACTAACAAAGTTATATTGAAACCTTCAATTAACGAAGCTTTAATGTCCTAGTTAGAGAACGGCCAAAATTTAATTTGTGTAAGTCCAGCATCTTTCTTTCCGAAGTTTGCAAAAAACTGTCGACCATAATTTAAGTTTTACAAAAATTTGGAAAAATATTTTTTTTAATTTAAGGAGTAGGAAACGAGGACGCAAAAAGATTCCTTCTCTTTTAGCACTTTTAAATCGTTAAGTCATATTGAATTGCCTTTGTGCTAAGGTCGAGCATTAAGTTAGGCGCACGCAAATCGTACGTGAATTTCTTTTTAAATAGATTATAATATCAACAATGATTGGATGTAGTTCTAAAACGGCAGTCGGTGATAAGTAGGCAATAGTTTCTTACGATTTGTTTTGATAAAACAAACAAAATCGACGTACAACAATAAAACGAAAAAAAAATCAACATTCCATAATGTAACAAACCGAACGTTTTTCCCATTTGTGCATCCGTACATGCATGACTATAAAGTGAAATATAAACAAAACATACGAAAATTTTTTAAGGATTTTCATGTTTCACTTCTTGCTACTGCACCAACAATGAGAAGGACGTTTGAAAATGAAAAAAGTATTCGTTGAGCATAAAACATAGTAACGACAGCTGCAACATATCTTCTTGCAACAACAATATTCTGAAAGAAAGAAGCACATGTGGTTGTCGTTATTTAGTCGTACGCACTGTAAGCACTCAACAAGCACCGTGTGAGAAATTCTGTCCGTGCAAGGTTCCCACGGCCACGAGCCATGAGGTATTCATGCGCCTTACGCATCGTTGTGATATCCTGATCGACGGCAGCTGCACACACACATATATATACACACTCGCAAACACTCGCAAAACATTGCAAAGGAAGTACATACACTTAAGAGCAGTGTTTCACATGAGGGTTGTTTTTTAATAAAATTGTACATAAAGATTAAAGAGAGTAAGGTCTAAAAGTATTCTCTCTGCCTTGCGATGCTTTTTCGGGTATAAAATCATCGACACTTAAAGAAATGAAGCATAGTAATTTAAACGATCTACAAGTGAACACAGCTGACAACAGGCAACAATGGCTTATTCAACAAAAACCGAAATTTATCAAAAAATTAAAAAACCTCTTTTGGAACGTCAACGACGTGCTCGTATAAACAAGTGTCTAGATGCCATCAAACGACTAGTGGTTGAGTTGCAAGGAGACGAAAATATCTTACGTATGGATAAAGCAGAAATGCTGGAATCAACAATTACCTTTTTAAGATCACGTAAAATTAAACAGACGAAGTGTTCGTCACATGTTGCTCCTGCTGTTAATACTTTTCGCAATGGCTACATAAATGCTGTTAATGAAGTATCACGTTTATTGGCCTCTACGCCCGGCGTCAGTGTCGATATGGGCAAATCAGTAATGACTCATTTGGGTCGATCCTATAATCGCTTACAACAACAATACCATCATCAACAGAAAGAGACGCTCACAATTCAATGTCCACATAGTCCTGCCTCTTCCGGTTACCACAGCGACAATACTCAAAGTCCACTTGCAACGCCTACGCCTGCATTTAAACTCTGGAGACCGTGGTAAAAACTATTAATGGAAACGATACGTGGACTTTAAAAAGATAAGCAAATAGTGTACCTTAACTGTGATAAAATTTATTGTGATAATTATACGTATAGCACAATTCTCAAAATATTAGCTCTTCCACTACTATTAACCAGAATAAAAAATATGCAAAACAAAAACTGATGCGTTTTTAGTACACAACAATTTTTCAACTTAAAGTGAAATAGCTTTTTAGTTTTAATGCTATCTATTAAATTATAATGCTTAATATTGTTTTCGAAATATCGAGTTTGAAGAAAAATAATCGAAATCAATGCTTACCGCGATTTGCAAATGTTATTTTGCAAGTATAAATATTGCCGAAATATTCACACAGACACCAGCGATCCTAACCAGCGGTGTTCTTTAGGAAGTGTTCAGATGACTTTCAATTTATATATTTGTCGTTTAGAAATCTTACATATCAAAAAAAAAAAAAAATCTTACATAAAATACTAAAACATAAGCCTTGCATTTTTGAACATGTTAAAGGAATTGTTAAGATTTAATAGATAGAGTTCTCCAAACAAACAATTTTTTTAAAAGAAATATGTAATATCTCATAACTGTCTTAACTCTATACTAAATTTCATACAGTCTGCTAAGGGTGGTAACCAAAAATTAATCACTAAATAAATCTGTTACCAATATAATACCACGAAAAATAAATATTTTATTTTGGTGAAATAAACTGACCTAGTCTACTAAGAAGGTTTATATGTCCACTGAAAAATTGCAAAAAATATTTTGTTTAAATATAGATAAATAACCAATATCATATTGACTTTTGCAACTGTCAACTCAACAGTAAACGTGAAATATATTTACACAGTGTCTTCATAAGGTTCAGTTTTTAGTCTACTTTTAGCGATGATTTTTAACAAAAAGCTATTTTAGCTATGTTTTTTAATGATCAAATCTGGAATTTCTCAAAACTAAACCCTCAAAAACAATTACAAAAATAGCAAAATAAGGACAGTTCGATTCTAATCATTTATAAGTTTGCTTCATACATTTTCAGCAATCGTTTATGTTTCTTTTCCTAAAACATAATCTATAAGTGAAATCTTAATATAACTAATTTACATCTAAAACACTAATGCCACTGTAATGTAGAGTTCATATTTGTTTTATGCGAAATATAAGTTTGAATATGAAACATTATGCAATTCCTTCTTTTAAATTAACGCATACCCATGGCGATTACTAAGAAAATTACTACTAGCTTTCTTCTTCTTTAATATGTGTTATATTACATTATACTGCGTCTTCATAGGCTTTTTATTTCATTTTTCTTTTGCTGATACCATCTTAAAGTTAACTGTTATTTGCAAAAACCTCGCCAACATTTACATTTTTTTTAATGCGTAAAATAACCACTGAAAATTGGAAAATCAACTTTACTTTTGTACGGATTGTAAAAGACTGAAGTTAATATCTTCGCTTGGGCTGCATGTTCTACGGTTTTTGTATAAATAACGTATGCATGAATGCATATGCCTTTTATTTTCATGTTTTCATTTTTACTAAAGACAAGAATTAATTTTATTTGATAAGAATCCATATCCTATGCTATGTTGTTAGATCGTTTAAAGCTTTTGCTTTATTGTTATCGTGCCGTAAAAGTGCCTCAACAACTTTCGTTTCTTCAAACCCATTACCTGCCAACTCACTAAAAAGAAGTAAATGTTGAATGACCTAGAAAAATCAATATGACTTAATCATTAATCCAGATTTGTTGAGAAATTGCGTACCTTGCTGTCATCAACTCCCACCAAAAGAATAGTTCTAGCTACACGTTCCAATGGAAATCCTATGTTGCTAATTTTTTCCGCCAACTGTTTGTTCGAATCACTTAATTGACTAAAATAAGTACCATTAAAATTTGTTCCATTATCTAATAAAAACGTTAAATTTTTCGGTTTATTATATATATCACGATATTTTATGACATACTTAGAGTTGTGACGCAATTTTGAAGGTTATAAGTACTATTTCCAGAACGTTTTAACTCAATGCCGCTGAGATTCCTTTCAAGAGCTGGAACACTTCTCGATCTACGATCAACATCGGTTTTCAAAAATGATTTAGGATCATTTTCCCTTAAAGAACGTTTGTCTGTACTTGAACAAGTAGAATTTACATTTTTAGTTGTAGAGCTATCATCGAGAAATGAGGAATGCGTTTGATTTGGTTTTTGATTATAATAAGGCTGCTTAGTTGGAATGTTGCTGTTACAAGGATTAATTGAATTAATTTCTTGTTCATGTAAGCTTGGTTGATTATTTGTCGCAATTTGCGTATTGTGCAGGACCTGCGCGAGTATATCCAGATCATTAATTGTTTTCAGTTCAATGTTATCGAAAGGGGATGACGTGTCTGCTTCGAAATCCTTATAATTAATTGTATTACCTAGCTTCGTATCATGCACTGTTTCAAATTGATTTGCATTCAAACACCTTAATACTGTGGGTTGTAATATATTATGGAAGCTATTTAAAGTGTCGCTTGCATTAACTAAATTCCCATTTCCAATGCACGCTGGTGAAACATTGCTAACATCATCCTCGCTTCCCGAAGATGATAAATCTTCTGTACTCGGATATGATACAGCGCCAAGTACTTGCTTTGCACGCTCTTCAGCTTTGCGTTGATTACGTTTTTCCATTCGCTCCTGCCTTAAATCCTTTTCATGTTGACGCAGTCTTTTCCATTCTTGTACTTTATTCAGCGCCCTTCGTTCCGTTTGAAAGTCGTAGGCAAAAAAGGAAGAATCGTTGAAAATGTTTGAAGGTAAAAGCAATTTATTGCTAATTGTTGGAGACAATTGGTATAAGCAAGGAGGTGGTTTATATTTTTCCACAATTTTTACAGGAACACCTTCCATTTGGTTGATCAGACCACTATTTCTAGGCAAACTTACACCTGATTTTAGCAATAAACAAAAATTTTTTTTTGTTCCTTTTCTTTGTAATGAAAAGCTAAATTAATTTGCAAAGAGTTGCCAAATTCACATTTAACGCTAAGTTTAGAATCTTTTGCACATTCTATAAAATAAAATTCACAGAAGTTAATATATATAAAAGAAATTAAATGCAGACATGACAGCGGGGATCTATCATTGAAAATTTAATTTTAAAAATTCCAAAGTATCGCTGTGAATTGGAAATAAATTTTTAAAAAAATGAAGTATGCAAGAATATAATGACACAGTCTATACGATTGTGTTTTTTGTGGCAGTGTTGCTGGAAAATAACGGCTAGTAAATCTATATTGTTAAAGTAATTACTGATTTTTTCAAATCTGGACATTTAAAAAAAAATAGCTTTACTTCTATGAGAAGCAGCGAAGTAAAGGACTTGTCTACTTTATAACTGGCTGCTTAAAAAGCGGTAACCCTTATTAAAGGAATTTGTGTAAATCAGTTGTAAATAAATAAATTAACAATACAGAGGGTTTATATATAGTTCGTTCTAAATAATTTAATTAATTTCTATGTAATAAACGGTATCTTCGGTAAAAAATGTCAGATGTTAGACAAAGCGGTGACGATATTAATAATGAAAATAAACGAACGCCTTTGAAAGCAGGCGTGGAGAAAGCATTGCAAATTAATCAACAAATGCAAAATGAATTATTTGAATTACGAAATAAACTCCAAACGATGTTAAATAATATACGAGAAACCTTTAATGTAAACGAAGAGCTATTAAAGAATAAAATGAAACGCAATCGTAACGGTATAGGAATCCGGGGAGCTTACTTAAGAGGTGGCACATTCTATCTGAAGGGCAATATGTTCTTTAAAGATTTAAATTGTAGAAATTGTCCCAATAATAAAGACTACGAACGTAGACAAAAGGAAGATAATGAATTATTTCCAATGGATTTGGAATTATGTGGCCGTCATGTTTGGTCACTAAAAGATAAACAAGAAATTGTACTTGCTGTTAAGGAGCACGTTGTAGAATATTTGCGAGATACGGATAATGTGGAAATTAAAAAGTACTGCTCATTGCAAGCAGCAAAAAACGAAAAATTAGTGAAGTTACTTTCGTACACCGGCGAAGACTTTCACATAGACTGGCAGCAGATATCGACATATAATTTGAGGCGACGTCATTCTCCAAACAGCTGTGAAGCTATATGGAATGTGTACCTTCATCCCAAATTTAAAAGGACTTACTGGTCCCCGGAAGAAAATAAAAAACTCTTAGAAGTATCGAAAAAATATAATTTTCAAAATTGGCCCGCTATTGCAGCTGAGTTGGGTAAACGTTCCGATTTTCAGGTGTATTAAAAAGCTTTCTCATTGTGGAAATTTATAAATAACATTTTTTTATATGTATAGTGCTTTGTTCAGTATCAAAATAGCGTTTGCTATATGCTGCCCGAACGTTGGAGTAAATGGTCTAAAGAGGACGACAAACGTCTTATTGAAGTTGTTAGTAGATACTCCTTTAACGGCGTTGTTAATTGGAATAATGTCATGGCTCATTTTCCGCATAAGCCGAAGACTACAATACAAGCTCGTTATTCTTACACATTAAATCCACTCATTAGTCACGGTAATTATCATAAGTCTACATTATTTAATACTTGTCACCTAAGTTACATCCGTTTGTGTGTCCTTCTCAAAGCTAATTAATGGCTTTGATATATGATATGAATCGAATCAAAAGTTCACATAAAAACACTTCTATAAAAGCCGAAAAACTGGGAAAAATATAATTAATATGTATTCTCGGGGCGTTCAAAAGTTCCGAATGAAAACCAAAGTAATCAAGATAGAAACATGTTTAAAGTAAACAAAAAACCAAAATTTACTATTTTTAGCGGAAATTAGTCCGAATAACGCTGCATATATCTGATGTGGGTCTGAAAATTGTTTTGACTGGCATCAGTTCACGTAATTAAGAACTTATTTTTGTACACAGCATTCATTCCCAGTGGAAAATAAGTTTCTTAGTGTTAGTAATTAAATGAATTCTCTATCTTTTTCAACAGCTCCTTTCACACCCGAAGAAGATTTATTACTGTTGGCAGCCGTTAAAGAATATGGAGCGAAATTTTCTTGCTTTCCTAAGACGTTATTTCCGAATCGAACAGTTGTTCAACTGCGTTCGCGTTATCAGAATACAATACTGCATCGCCATAAGCACAGCTCATGGTCTGTAGATGACGATCAGAAACTAATGAATTTTATAGCTGAAAATGGTACTTCATCGTGGGTGAAGTGTGCGGAGTTTTTAGGCAATCACACCCGCACTAGTTGTCGAACTCGGTTTTTAACTATACAAACTTTTTTGAAAAAGAATCCTCAAGCGGTGTTGGAAGATATACCAAGAAAGAAGCAGTATACGCCGGCACATAACATCAACGCAGAAAATTGGACTGAGAAATTAGCTGAATTAAATAGAGATCCAAACGCTATACACGATCGTAATAAACGGCGCATTCGCGCAAGAAGGCTCAAAGAGCCAGACCAACCAGAAAAACAAACGGTAAAATCGCTCAATAAAGGCAGACGAAAAATAAGCAATCAGAGAAATCGTAGCACATCAGGAAATGAAAAAAATCTGATAAATCGTGACACATCCATTATAAGTTTCGAAGAAAATTCACGTAAACAAAGTAGAAAAAATCCAGTTTATAAAGAGCGATTGCGAGCGGTTGGCTTAAAGATGTATAACTTTTTTAAATATTCCTACAACTTCAGACTGGGTGAGGATGTATGCCGAACGTTGCCACATGATGTCCATTCAATGTATACGCTTTCATCTGTTCTGGCCTTCAATCTAAATAGCAATTGTACATTTGGTTCTAACGTGCCTAACAGTTTAGTAAGGCAATATCGCCCTTATTTGGAGCAAGGCATACCAAATGACATGCAAATCATTACTAGCCCGCTGCCATGCAACTGGTCTTCTGCTGTGGCGTTTAGAACTTTATGTGTGCTAACGTCACAAGCTGATGAAAACGTAGTTTTACCTACGACGGATTTAGTTAATAATAACCCTAGTATCATGATATTTCGCCAGAGACTACGTACCCTTCTATATACAACTGCTCTGCTAAGTCGTCTTCACCCATCTCTTGTAGGTATTAGTACTACCGAAAACCGTCATGAAGTTAAAAACGAAAATCTTGGGATACCTACGAAGAATTCCAAATTAATTATTGAAAGACCGTGTCATAAAAGAAAAAAAATTGATAGTGGGCCTCAAAGCAAAAGATTTTGCAGTGAAGCGACAGCTTGTGATATTAAAACCGAAATTGAAACATAGAATTTAATCTGCGAAAGTATTTAATAAAGTGAGATTTCCTCGAAATAACTAAAAAAAGGTTTCGTTGACATGAGGGTTTATGGGGACCCTACAATCTTGATTCGAAAACTATGCAATTTTTCCCTTTATAAAGAAAGCTGTGAAATTTGTTCGTTTTGTTAAAATGTTTGCACCATCTCGAACTTTCAAAGACCCTTATAAAGTATATACATTTGGGTAGTATCAAATTATAAATCGATCTGCGGTTTGTGCAACGGCAATGTATTAAAAACCAACTATAAATAATTTGACATAGAAATTAACTGCATCAATTATTCGTTTATTTTTCGAATCTCTCATGATACTCATGATAACTGAGCCTTTACTAATTTATGACAGATTTACTTATTTTATTAATTTATTTATTTACACATGAAAATCAACTAAAGTAAATTAACAGCCAAATGTTACACTAATTATTATTAAAAACTGGTATAAACCGTATAAGGAGAAGTAAAGAAACACAGTAAGAATAATTCATGCATAAATAAATAAAGAAAAAAAAAAGGACGTGCACAATTAGTACAGAGGCATACCCAAAACCAGTGCAGAACCAATTTGTGCAAGTGAGTCCCTAAGCCATTTCAAATGTGCAAAAGCTTGGCAACCGATAACATCAAACAACACCAATTAATATTGGAATCATAATAAGATGTCAAGATTGCAAGTTAGTTTAAATACGACATGGGCAAAACGCTCATATTAAGCATAGTTATTTTGATAGACTTCAAAGCGTCCGATAATGAGATTAAGTGATAGACATCGTGTAGGTTTCCGCAAACAACTTTGAACGTAAGAAACAGCTGGTAATTATATTAACATTGACTAAGCTTAATGAAAATAAAATGCCTAGAGAAACGATTAGAGACATTAAAGTTGATCTCGCAAAGTAATGTGGCCGAGTCGATAATACAATTGATTAACTTAATTAAGAAGGAAACACCAAGAATAAATTGACGGTAAGGATAACAGGAGCAACCTAATTTTCATAAGGAGGCAGAGCGATAAGCAAGTCCTAACCCAAACTCCTAACGGCAAACGGCAAGAATTGCTTCTGAACTGATTCAATTGTAGCTATGTAACACCTGTAAGAAAAAGAGCACATAACAGTCCCAATACTCTAGCTAGCACATGCGTAGTCTTTTTGTTTTGTAAGGGTCCTTAAGCTATTCGGACCAGCTCTTGATGAAACCTAGTGCGAATTAAAACGTAATCTTTGGGCGAATAAAACAGCTAAATCGATGAGCGAATCTACGTTTTCCAACTAGTGTGAATCAATGAAGTATTGGATGACTTCGTCCTTGAGAGAGAAAACTTCTTAAATTTTTTTGGATTTAATTTTATAAAATTTAACGATTACCATGTAACTTTATTATTTAAATCAAATTAAGTTAAATTATTTAAGTCAATTTGAAGCTGACGCGATTGCGATTCCAAGGAGAAGGAAGAAAACAGTTTAACATCGTCAGTGTAAAGTTTGGCTGGATTTAATCGCCGGGGAGAGATCATTATTGTGTAAATTAAATAGCAGGGGTCCTAAGGGGCAGTCTTGAGTGGCGCCAGACGTCGCGGGAAGTTCATCCGAAGTGAAGAAGGTAAACGGAACTCTGAATGATCTATTACGCAGATAAAAGCTTATACATTTCACTAAGTACAAAGGGAAGCCAGAGCCCGGGAGTTTGAAGATCAGTAAGTTATAGTTAAGTAAGTCAAACGCTTTACTAAAATCAGCATATACAACATCCGTGCGAGAGCCTCTAAAAAACGCTATAAACACCTGTTTGATATGAATTGAGTATACATGATGGAATGCCATCAAGCCCAGGCTCAGGGCTCTACTTCAGAGATCTCGAACCAAATAAAACATCGTTTTCTGGAATGAACATGTTAGGAATGGAAACGGAGTTAATTATAAGATATGGATTAACAGTTAAGTTAACAATTAAATCGAAATCAGTTGAAAAATTTGGTCGGAAGTATTTAGCAAAAAGATTTGAGGTTTCGAAATCACCATTAAAAGACACATGCGAAGCATATATATGTAGATTTTTCTTTTGGAGTTAACAAACTTAAAAAAATATTTAGGATTAAAACGTAGTAAAGATTTTATCGACTGAAGATGTCTGTAATAAAGTTGGTGATTGAGCTAACTTTCATAAATTTTTTGAAAAGTTTGTTTTTCCTATTTTTGTAATATTTAATACTCTTGTTAGACCATAGCGGGCATATGCTTCGAGGGTGAGATTGCTTAATCGGAACGGATGCAGAAATAATACAAATGTTTACTACATTATAGAACAATAATAGTGAGGCTTCAATATTACCACCAGAAAAATCGAGCATAATGTGTGAAAAATAAGATATTGGTTTTCATAATATTTATTTTCTTAAGATCATAATATTTATTTGAGAAAGTTGGTTTTGACACATTATAATGTTTCAACGGACCATCACGCCTGTAATTAAAAGAAATAAAAATTGCCGGATGATACGAATACTAAGGTAAACTAAAAAGTGGACAGCGATTTACCACGATCTCCGGCAAATTGACAAAGCAAAGATCAAGCGAGTCTGCCATTACAGTTAGGAGTACAGTTGTATTGAAGTAAATTACGATCAAATACTTCATTGATAATACAGGTACATTACCACTATAACGCCAAGTGAACTGTGGCACATTGAAGTCTCCCATCACTATGACTATAGCAGCAGGTTCCCGATTTATTTGTAATGTGTATGTTACCAGCGGAATTAACCATAAAGAAATCGGTAACATTCTTTGTCGGCAAGACTGAAACACTCGAATGAATAGACCTATGCGATTTAGGCGAAGATAGAGGTGAACACTCTGAGTTGGTCTTTTTTCAAACTTCCACATAATGTCACGCGATTTTTACTTAATTCTGAAAACCCATTTCTTGTCTCCGTGAAAAGCTCATAAAAGTCAATATCCCGCTTTCTACAATCGGCAGATGACCAAAGTAATCCTTTCGAAGGATCTAGTACTATATCTGCAGCACGGCCACTGATAACTCAACACTTCGCATGACGAAAACGCTCGCAAAGCTAAGAAGTAATGAATGCAGAAGAATCGGGGCCTGTTTTGGTTCGATTTGATGCAGACAAACACCCCATGTCAGAAAGAAAAAGTTCGTCACGTATTCAAAAACGCTTTTAAATTAAACGCAGATGGTTGGAAGCAAGAACTTGCAAACAACAAGAAACACACTTTTTGACGCGGGTACCAGGTGCTGATCGCAAACAAAAATCGATATCACTAAAAAGAGGTTCAATATATTTCAATAAATTTGTACACTATTATAATTAATTAGGCTTTAAACCCTTATAAAGCAAAAAGGCAAAATGCAAAACGAAATTACAAAATTTCTGCATACAAAGTAAAAAACATTACCACAGTGCTCGCGCAGAGTTGTCAAATAATGGGTAATAATAATGAAGCCTTTGACAAAAAGATCAATATTTCTAAAATATGGGGGGTGACAGTCCACGTTTACCTTGTTCAATATAAGGGCTACCATGAAAACTCTGTTCTTAATTTAGAAACAATACATAATTTTTGATAGATATAATAAACATTTATTCCCAATTATAATATTTTCGCATGTCTTTTTGAGATGAGTGGTGAACGTAAAAGATTCGATGCGTTTCAGAATCGCTACATCCTAGACCATTAGTGGCAAAATTATATTACGTTCGTGCAACGGTCGATTATTCCAATCGATTAAGAAAATCAATCTAAGTCTATTTTTGTGTCGAACACAAATTTTGTAATTTTTGAAATATATTGAAGAATTTTTGTGAGCAGGCGCCGAAGGATGGGGACTATTGAAACGAGCCTGCCTGAAATTGTTTTTACCACCAGTCCCCATATAACTGCTTTGAAAGAGAGACTCAAATCGGCGCAGAATAGCAATTATGTTATAACTTTGTTAAAAATAATTCCAAAAAGAAACGTTCCATTTTTTTGAACTCACTAGAAATATTGAAATTACCACTTTCGAGTAAATCCCCTGGCGACACGCGTGTGTACGAAGACAGGTAACATAGTTTCTTCTCAAAGTACAAAATTTTACAAATTTATCAAAAATAGTCACGAAAATAAGTTTCCGGGGGTTTTGCAACTTGTTTAAAGGTATTTTTATACATTTTACATTTTATGATTTTGCGATGGTCGTGTACACCGAACATAATCAATTTCAAAGATTTATTACATTTATTATTCGCGAAAGAAAAATGTAATTTTTGGCATCATAAGGCAGTTACTTTCTTATATTTTTATATTTGCTTGCTGAATTTTGAAATTTGAGCTTCCAAACCCAAATACAAATTGATACTTCTATATATGCTCTTGTGCTGGTTAATGAAGTTATGGTAAGACCTTTATGGGAAAAGTTAAAATAGAGAGACAGCTAAGGTCTTTGATAGATAACTTTACATTTATTCTCACACCCTTCTCATCGTATTGTTAAAATTTTGCAATTAATCTCTTCGATTATTGATATTTTTAATTTAATTTTTAATTGTTATGTATTTGTTTTATGAAGTAAATAAAATTTAACATGGTTCTAAAATTTACATAATTGACCACAAAAACCAATTTATTTTACTGTTTATCCAGTTCTATTGGGAGTTATTGAAATCGGTGTTCAATTGTTTCCGGATTTTCCGATGTTTTATCTAATGTTGCTGTTAACTTGCATTTACGGTTGTCTGCAAACGGCATTTTCTAAATTGTGTCTTAAGTCTTACAATCCACTTGATCAAAATGACTGTCCAACTTGCGTTGACATTTCCATAATACAATCGTAACTTTATAAGTTCATTAAACTAGGTATCAACATATCGACTTTGTCTGCGGTATGAGGAACAGATCACGACCAGGGTTCTGTCTTCGCAAAGGTGCATTTTCTATTTGATGTAGATTTTTTAAAGAATTTTCTTTATATATAATTGATCCGAAGGAGTTCCTTTTTTTGCTTCAAATCATGAGTTCCTCAACTGGTGTACTGCAATGAAATATTAAAGAAGTATAAACTGAAGAATTACATTCAAATTTGCGCTCTATAAAGCCAATTTGGTCAGTTGATCGGTTGTTGCCATAGATTCTTCGTCGGTAGGAATAGGTTCGCTTCCTTCTTGAAACGCATTTGAACGTTGACAGAATGACACTATGTGGATAATGAAGTAAACACCGAAAGTGAGGAAGTGCTTCACAAACCGTAACAGTCTTTTGAATCATATCACGATATAAGGCACCGGCACTAACGAAGTCATAGGAATAACTAAAATATTGTTTTTATTTATAGTTGCAATGCATTGTTGCATCCAAATAAGTTGTATATAAGTATGAAATATACCCAGGCCATATATCTCCGTTTACGGTTTTAAAATGGAATGCGCAATTCGTCGATGCACTTCTGTCCCAAGTTTAGGATCGAATGGGTATATCTTTTTCGACGATGCGTCTGGCAGGCACATCGTGATAAAATTCGTTAAAAAAATTGAAACGGTTAGCATATTCTTAAGTGTTAATTGTTGAATTAAAATAAAACAAAAAAATTCAATGAAATGCAATAACCACAATATAATGCGAAATAATCAAAAAAATGCAATTCGAAGTCTTAATGAACCTTAAAGGCTCAACATGAAGGTTTAGTTATAGTTCATGGTTGTAGTTTTTTTTTTTTTTTCGTTCTAATCGTTTTTGTATTTCCTTATTTCGCCACTTTGCTAGGAAATATCTGGAGCGCATCTGAAGTTCAGCTGTTTGGCAAAAACAATTTACGTGATATTCAAATAACAGGCGACAAATAATTGAATAAATTATTTTACCAACAAACATGGAACTTATATTTTTTGTGGCTTAAATTTCGAAGTTATATGTTTAAATCTGATTCTAAATAGACACTAAAGTCTTATAAATTTGCGTTCACCTACAAGTACAAGCTCTATCCCATTGGCCTAGTCCTTGCTTACTCTGTACCAAAAAAAATAAATAAATAAATAAAATTTAATTAACACAAAACTGAAAATTGTTGAGTAACAGTTTGAATTTTTCAAAGGTAAGTAAGGCATTGATTAGTGTTAATAAATAATCGTTTTATGTTAATCAATGCTTATATTTTAGGCAGAATGCTTCAACATATCATTTTATAGTATTGGTTGCGACGGAAAAGGGTTCTGCGTGACACAAAGCCAAAGCGATGTTTCATATAATATAATAGGCCAAGCGTTCTTATAATGAGGCTTAGAAGAATTAAGGGTATCCGTGGTATAAAAAGCACCACCATCGTGTGGTAATTGACTTTGAAGCTCGGTAGGCAACAGCA